GGTATGGTAGAATCATCTCATACTATTTCCAAATTACCTACAATGTGGAATTTATGGAACTGATTTTGCATGATCCATGATCTGGAAACGGCATGAATTCTTTTAGCAGTCCGTTCCCAACCGAGGTCCATAGAAATATTTCCATTAAGTTCAGATGAAATCGCAAGTCTTCAATTTCCTTCAAGTGCATAATGAGGTGTACATATATCATCTCTTGTGTACATGTTCGTTATTTCCTCATTTTATCATTAATTTTCGTATATTTTGCATTCCAGAATATTAGGAGTGGGTTTAGAAGACAAAATATTACATCAATAACGTATCCGTCATCCAACAATTTTCAAGTTGTCATTATAAAGGTGCTTCATACAGGGTGTTTCAAAAAAACCTAGCCCCCTTGATATGGTAGGTAGAACAATGCAAAATAAGTTAGGTTTGCTCAGTGAAAAAATGTCGTAACGGCATCCATTTTCATGATACAAGGTGTTGAAAAATTATTTTTTTACACATTTTTCACGATTATTCCGAAACTACTAGCAACATTGTAATGGAATTTTGTATGGATGTTTCTTGAAATCTGACACATCGCATGAATTTGTTTTTATATCTGACTCTCATAGAGGGCGCTAGTTACACGGTTCGTACCGAGAAGTTTTGAACATAACTTTTTTGAGGTTAGATTTTTCAATCCAAATTTGATGTGAACTTGAACATTATTCAATTTCACACCAAAAAGGTACTACTGTCTGTAGGTTAATCGAGGAGGTGGTACATTCATTATTCCAAATTTTTTGGAATTTTCTCTCCTCGTTTCTATAAAATAAAAATATGAATATTATTTCAATATACGTGTAGTAAGGACAAATCAGAAATGTCACTGCGTTTGAAGAATTTTCCTATCAGAGAGCCTAAAAGAAAAATTCACTAGCTTGTCAGTGACAATTTGTATTGAAAAAATCTCTTTTCATGTTGAAAACGGGAGCAAAATCGGTCCCGAAACGTCCAAAGATAAGTGAAAATTTGATATTTCTTCTATATACCTTTATTTCTCTTCTCCAAAAATTTTTCAATACAAATTGTCACTGACAAGCTAGTGAATTTTTCTTTTAGGCTCTCTGATAGGAAAATTCTTTAAACGCAGTGACATCTTGGGGCAAATCATCTCATTTGTCCTTACTACACGTATATTGAAATAATATTCATATTTTTATTTTATAGAAACGAGGATAGAAAATCCCAAAAAATTTTGAATAATCAAAAAGGTACTCTTGGTAAACCTCGATACTGTGTTCCGTTTTCGGAATATTTCGAAGGGGGTTGGGTTTTTTGAAACACCCTGTATATTATTATCAACTCTGGAACTTATATTTTGTATGTTTTGTTAACGTAGTTTTCAGTGTTCAGTGACTTCAGTGTTCGAAATGGCCTTTGCGAATAGAGTAAGCTGTTATGTTTGCGATCGAAATTTTATTCCTAGACATACAGTTCGTATATATGGAGATGATGATGTTGATTTGCTCCAAATTGCAATATTCAGAAGGCAAGCTGTCGGAAATCCTCCTATTGACATTCTTGATGATGCAAGAATTTGTTCGAATTGTTATAATGCTGTGAGAGAAGATATCAATCGAATTGAGAACAACCCCAACTGCATTCGCCTCAATGTCCTGGGCCCTGTCATGAGCCGTGAATGCATAATGTGTGATGCACGTCAAAATGTTCAGAGAATAACTTTAGAATGTAGAGTGAACATTTTTGTTGCTCCTGATATCTAAGTTCCGGATTATTTGAGAATTTGTAATCACTAGAGTTCCTAAATGTACTTGACACTGCTGATTTTGACGTTTTTTGTATATCAGAGTACGGACACTATGGGTTGCGTGCAAGAACTGTCAGATGACCGACGCTGGAGGCAAAACATTGAAACACAACGTCACTTTTTTTATTTGTTTACAAGTGATGGAAATAGTTTTTCACAATTATTTTGGCATACGAATCGTATTTTTCCGCTATTCATCAATTCGCTCATGCCATCACATTATGCTGTTGTGAAATGCACAAAAACTGCAGCGGAAGACGAAGTAATCCGGTTGGTACATTATGATTAAAAGTAAGTACCCACTATAGTCACTCACATATAGTTTTCATTTTCGAAATTTGGTAATTTCTCTGATTTCTCATCGGAATTCCTTCTGCGATAGGAGCTAATAGAAATACACCTGAAATTTCTAAAACAATGCAAGAAGATTGGATTCATGCAATCAATCCGGAGGACTGGTCTGACATGCTGACGATCGTGTGTGTTGTAGACATTTTCAATCTATTAGCAGTATTAGCAGTATTAGCTTGTATTGCAGAAGTGGCAGAAGGCAGAAGGAATTTTAATAGGGAATGACAACATTTCATAATGATAACTACCTATGTGAGATTACTATTTACCTGAAAAATCATATTCTTTAGTCTCTTGCTGCATTTTTTTGTGCATTGTACAACAGCACAAAAAACACGATTCATATGCCAAAATATTGTGAAAAACTATTTCAATCCTTTGATTCCTCTGTAACCAAATAAAAAAGTGAGGTTGTGTTTCAATAATTCACAGAAGAATGAGGTTGTGTTTCAATATTTTGCCTCCAGGGTCGGTCATTGTGCACGCGACCTATTCGCGAAAATCACGAACCAATAGATGGCTCTATTTAACGTCAAATCAACGTCAAATTTCAAACTGAGTATGAACAACAAAAACATTGCCGTATGCAGTGGTTATTTCGAAATCATTTTGCAAAATAGTGAATAATGACTAATGAGATGACTTCGTGAAATACGTACAACGTTTCCAGTATGGAAAAAATTACTTTTTGTGCAGAGAAATTGCCATTTTGATGTGGACAATGGTGGTATTTATCATTGATATCACACTACAATTCCACAGTTTTCAAACATATGGAATGGTCGGAATGGTCCACTCAACACTTGCATGGACTGGAATGGAGCCATATAAGCAATCAGTTGATACAAAAATATGGGATAGGTATGAAGAAATAATTGAATTCATCAAGAAATATCACTGGCTTTTATGAAGGAGATGGAATTCTAGTGAAGGGGCTGGGAAAAAAAGATATGGTTGGAAAGGCTGCTCAAAATGAACAATATCATCGATTTACATAAACAAGGATCTCCAGCAATCGAAGACTTGGAGTTATTCTCAAGATCGAATCATTGCAACCAACATTTATACAAGGATTCTAACTGTGCTTCAGAAAATGTATATTATATTATTATAAGGTAGGTACTGGCTTCTTCATTGTAAACAATAAAAGTTCATGCAATAATTCGAATTTTTCAACAGGGAGAAATGAGGTTCTGGAATATGCACTTCAACAAATAAATTATTTTCATACAGAACACAGAAACTCAAAACAATGGTCGCCATGTTTGTTGTTCATACTCGCAAGACTTGTAAAGTTAGCCACCAGAGGCCGCACACTTCGTGATTTTCGCGAATGACAAGCACTGACAATCAGACATAACCACAAATAAATTGATGGAAAAAGCGGAAACTGACAGTACACGGACGTACATGACATAAATTCCAAAGGTTTGACAAATTGAGAGAATCAGGAGAAAGATGCAAGTTTGTGCCGTTTGTGAGAACATGGGAAATCAATTCACTCTATTCGAATTTCCATCGGATAACGTAATTCTACAAAAATGGAAACAGAATATGATGCGGCCGGCATGGAATATAGATACAGGCCACAAAATTTGCGAGGAATTCAAATTTCTTGGTAGGAAGTTGAAGAATAGGATCGTATTGAGAGAAAGAGCCGAACCCACAATTTATAAACTGAGCGAGTATCGAAAAGAACCTTTTTCCAATTTAGACTCTGGTTATTGCTTGTGATGGAATATTTTCAGAATGGCTCTCGTTTAGTATTGTGTGTATGAGAACAACTTCATTTCTTGTTCTTTTTAATTTTTATACTCTGGAAATGTTTTCGATTCAAGTTATCTTCATTAATATGAGATTATTTCTAAAATATTTACTCCATACCTGAAAATAAATAATTCGCTGTCAGGGTTTTTGCGTAATAACTTCTACTCGGGTAGGTATATGATTTCTAACGTCATCAAAGTGTATCATATCGATTTGTGAGCAATGAAATTGACTATAAAAAGTCAGTGACAGCACATATCCACAACTAATTGGTTTAGCATGGGGGCCGTCTAAACTTTTTGAACTAGTCTGTAATAATCATCTGAATCACCATTTTCCTTGAATTGAAATATCGGTTTGTTATTGGCTCTTGAGAATTTTGAAAAAAATCACAGTCAATCTAGATACTACGAGAAGCCTCTGCATGGTTGAATCATTAATGTGAATTGAATATTAAAATTCGAGCAGCTGTTTGAAAAACGACAATTCTGAATATAGTCAATTCATTATGATATGCTATATTTCTTGAACTATTGATCGTAAATCAGTGAATATTGATACATCTCTTGAAAGAGTCTAGTCAGTACATATTTGATCTCGTGACATTTTTTGATAACTGTTACCGTTTTCCCGTGGTACATCAATGAATTGGGAAACGCAATTTCCAGCGCCTCGATTTTGTCCCTACTAGTGTGACGTCATGAAAGCGATGCTCCGGCCCGGTGAGATAGAGTAGGCCCTGGTTACCCACGATAGTCTCGATGGTAACGGTGGAGGCCGGCAGGGAGACCATTTAAGCCCTATTTACCTATAATAATTACTTTTTTTTTAGGTAATTATGGCTGAATCATTGGAACTCCTAGAATCTTTGCAATCGATGAAGTGTTGCCTGTGCAATAATGTTCTATCAGTGCCGCCGATAATACAGATTTCCGAAGATGGGAAACAGTTGAAATGTGGAAGATGTAAAAAAATCCAAAAACCATTGAGCACTAGGAATTTTGCTTTCGAAAATGTCCTGAAGTTTTTCAAATTTCCTTGCATCTACAAGGATTGCAATGAAATGATCCCGTGGGAAGATGTGGAGAGACATGAAAACATTTGTGAGAAAAAAACTATCAGGTGTCCAATTTATCCATGTGAAGACATTGTTCTGGTGCAGAGTTTAAAGGAGCACATGAAACAAGATCATGAAAGCAATATATTTTATGATGGATGCCTAACTCATGATATTAAGCTGAAGTTTTATAAAATTTCTTCTGTTATTTCGAATAATCAAATATTTTTTGTGATGATTTCACATCTTGAAAGCATGACACGTGTACATGTTGCTTCGCTGAACAGTATAAATGAATGTTTCACATATAATTTGAAATTATCCAGCATTTCTGGAGACTCATATTCTCTTTCAATTGAAAATCAGCCAATCAACAAATATGATGAGAGGGATCATTGTTTCCAATGTATAAATGGGACTTGTCATTCAGTATATCACCCGAATTCAAAGGTGAATGCAAATATATCGGCGAAGAAAAATATACCTGTCACTCTAAATTGCACGACGATTGATGGTATTACCATGAAACGTATATTTGATATTTCTGAGATAAAATATACCATAGAAATTCATCCAAAGAAGGGCTTTGAAGAAAATAATAAAAAACTGATGGATGAAAATTTGACAGTGGGAAGTCAAACAAACAATTCAACCATTGATGTTGATCTGTTGAGAAAGCAGTTACAGTGTCCGATCTGTATGGACTACATGATCGGCAATATTTATAACTGTGAAAAGGGACATGTAGTATGCAATATGTGTAAAATTCAACTGTCTGAGTGTCCTTCTTGTCGCACAAAAATTATTGGAGAATCAAGATGTTTTCAATTGGAGAGTTTAGCTGGTGAAATAGTGCTAGCATGTTCATATTTTAAAAAGGGTTGCGATTTCACTGGAAAATTGGAATTGCTTTCTCAACATGAGAAGAATTGTTATCAAATGCATCAGGAATGACACAGTTTTTGAAAAAATCATGATGTTATCACCGTATATTATATTTTCCCATGTTATTATACCAGATTGGAATGGGTAGTTTCGAATGAAAAAAGCGATTTAATTGGGAAGTTTTTCAGTTAGCTTTTTGCAACACATTCCGATTTGGTCACAAAATTCCTATTACTGTTCAATTTTTCTTTCCAATGTTTGTTGGGTGTGTGAGGACAATTTCTATAATGCTGCGGGAATTTACCGTTAGAACAATTTTTTTCAAGTAACCAATATCATTTTTTCTGCAACCGAAAGTCAAAAGTCGCCCATTTTATTCGCAAATTCAGCTCCTGAAGTTGACGTTCCAATCAATGACAAAAAAATAGGTATATTATTGCTGGGCAACACATTCAGTTCCTAGTATCTGAAGTTGAACTTCAGCTCCTAGGAACTTGAAAGGATGTACTAGCTCATGAAGCATAAACAACATAGGTAAGAACACAATCACATACCTTGAAATTGAATAAACAATATCGGTAAATGCCTCCACAGTATTTTTTTCCAATTAATCATTTCGAAAAAAAAAATGTTGGTGATCGTCAACGGGATTCGAACCCACAACATTTGGCATATCGTGCGAATTCATTTATCAAACATTCACACAGGTAGAATATCCTCACCACACGGATGAATTGTTGCATCGCATTCTTTAGTTTTGAATTCGTGCTGCCTGTAGTGTCTGTTGACATGATGCATGTCAACTCAAATTGTAACAAAGTAATTTAGTCTGGTGTTGGTGGTTACTTCGCTTACATTTATTTCAGTTATATGATAATTCTTTGGGTTGCAGGAAAAATAGCATGTTCTATCCGGATCAACAATCTACTTTTATTTATTCCTCTATGCATTATATGAATTGCTTTTGATATGTAGGTAGTAAACATGTCTGTATTTTTGAATTATTATTTGATGGTGGTTGAACACTGTACTTCTGCAGTGGCGTAAAAGTTGGAAAGTAAAACAGCCACTTCCCCTTCAAAATCTTCAACAATCATGACTTCTGTACAAAACATACTGTAACGTCTTCATTTGCTGATATAACTTGCCTATATTGAACGTTACCTCTTTATTGATAATTTCAATTAACAGAGTTCAGAATATAACATCTACCTAATATTGAAGCGCCCTGAATATCACTTGTCATCTTGTATCCAACAAAAAACTCACAGGTAGTATAGGTATGTACAGTCAGATGCAATGAACATGTCGCAGATGGGCGGTGATAGCACAACATGTAGTCACTTTTGCAATAAGAGCACTTACACCATCTGCGACATTTTCTTTGCATCTGACTGTAGAGAGTTCGGTGATTATTCAATAAACATAATAATAATATTTATTCATTTTATTCTCTGCTATAAACATTGCAGTCAATCTATTATGAATATATATATATTCATTAACATTTACAATGAAAATAACATGAATAATCAGACAGATTCATATCTGGTATGAGATTATTCATACGTTATTGAATTAAATTATAGTTATTGAAATAATCAACAGAATAAAAAATAATAATAAAACGAAAAGCTCATGAAAATTACATTATGACATGATGAAATAGATTAGTGAATGAGAAATCTAAAAACTTCACAAACGATGAGATTTCCACAAAATTTTTAAACACACGACATGTTTAGCTAACAGTAGCTTCGTCAGGTGATATACTGGTACAATGAACTAAACTAACGTTGGCTTGCTTAGCTTTCATATATCTTACTTTCCCAACCTTAAGGATTAGTTACCTGTGGACATCAGTTACGATAAACCTCCATTTTCGGAAATTAGGCACAATATCTACATTAAATTACGTTATACCGGATTAACTTGAAAGAGTTGATATCAAATACATATTATTACTTACTATTATTACTTACTAAGAAAACAAATTCAACAGTGGTGAACTATCAAGGTCTAATTGAACATTAAGTAAAATGTCAAAATTTTTGAGTTTGTTGATTTTTAATGATTCAAAATTATTGAGTTTCAGTCCTTTATTTTCTACGTGCAGAATTTCGAAATTATCATCAAAACTATGGTTTTCTTCTAATATATGGTTGGCGTATGTTGAATTTGTTTTCTTTTTCATAAAATTCATCTTATGTTCATGAATGCGCTGATTAAACGTACGACAAACTCAAATGTGGATCTTGTCCTAAGGTATATATATCGGTCAGACGTACGACAAACTCAAATGTGGATCTTGTCCTAAGGTATATATCGGTCAGACAGGTCGTACGTTTAATCAGCGCATTCATGAACATAAAATGAATTTTATGAAAAAGAAAACAAATTCAACATACGCCAACCATATATTAGAAGAAAACCATAGTTTTGATGATAATTTCAAAATCTGCACGTAGAAAATAAAGGACTGAAACTCGATCATTTTGAATCATTAGAAATCAACAAGCTCAAACATTTTGACATTTTACTTAATGATCAATTAGACCTCAATAGTTCACTACTGTTGAATTTGTTTTCTTAGTAAGTAATAATATGTATTCGATATCAACTCTTTCAAGTTAATCCGGTATACCGTAATTTAATGTAAATATTGTGCCTAATTTCCGGAAATGGAGGTTTATCGTACCTGTCCACAGGTAACTAATCCTTCAGGTTGGGAAAGTAAGATATATGAAAGCTTAGCAAGCCAAAGTCAGTTTAGTTCATTGTACCAGTATATCACTGACGAAGCTACTGTGTTAGCGAAACATGTCGTGTGTTTGAAAATTTTGTGGAAATCTCATCGTTTGTGAAGTTTTTACATTTATCATGGATTTCCATCAAGTAACGGCCGAGTCAATTAAAGAAAAAAGAATGAGAAATCATTCACTCAGGTTTGATTTTCTCTTTGCAAGATGATATGTTTCTTGACTTTGAATTTGTATTGGGTGATATTCGTGCAACATTTGATATCATTCAGGTAATTCATCGAATTTTGAGATATCTCCGTGAGTGAACTTTTTTTGACCAAGTGTAGAATTAACAGCATCAAGATGAAACAAGTCATATTGTCTAGTATGATGTTCATGGATTTGGGAATTCTTTACCAATATGAAGTCAGATTTGAGGTGTTTGTTGATAATATCAAAAGAAATTTTGAGAGTATTCATCAGATAGTGCTCTTCCAAAGAAAATGTATTTGTTTCTTCATAAAGTTGATTTGATGGGGTGTCATATAAAAGACGATACAGTACTTTTAATGCTTTTTTATATAGTACAGATATTTTGTTGACATTATTCTTGGAACATGAACCCCAAATATTTATGAGATAGTTCATTTTACTAAGGATGTGAGAGTATAGAACGGTATTTGCAATATTTGGGATAAGTTTTAGACTTCTTCTTAGGGCACCAACTATGGGAGAAATTTTTTCTTTGAGCATGCCAATATGATTGTCCCATGTTATTTTTTCATCAATCCAAATACCAAGGTATTTGGTATAGGCAGTTTATTTCAATCTTTCTTTTTTTATTCTAATATCCAAATCAATATCTTGTTTATTTCTTCGATGGAAAATTATATATTGGTTCTCATTAGAATTTAGGGAAAGAAGATTGGAGTATAGCCTTCAAATCCTCATTTATGTTGTTTTCTGAAATTACAGGGTTTTTGTTTTCAAATAAAAGTACTGTGTCATCTGCATATATATGGCATAGTTTCCTATTAATTTTATTTTAGAAATGTTTTGAATGTATAAAAGATACAGAATTGAGCCCAACACTGATCCTTGGGGAACTTCTTCGTTTATATATAGTATTTTGGATTCACAATTATTGATTTTAGTACTGATAGTCCTTTTATCTAGATATGTTTTCAAGAGATTGTTTCCAATTCCTCTGATGCCCATTGAATTAAGGTTTTTCAGGAGAATATTGTGGTCAACTGTATGCTTATTATAGGTCCGTACATGATTTCCTTTGGCAAGTCTATCTTGTATAAAATTTAAAATTGATTACTTGTAAAACTGCTGTGTACCACTTTTCTCTTGAAAACCAAATTGATTCAAGTCAAACCCATAGATATTCTTCATTGATGAAGCCAACAATTATCTTTTTTATAACTTTCACAACTATTGTGGAAAAAATGATCAACAAAGCTATTGGCCTGTAATTTTCCGGATTTTGAGCCTCACCGCTTTTATACATTGCTCCTTATGAGGTGTGTTACAATTCATGTGGAAAAATACCAGTTGACAATGATTTATTGATCAATTGTGTTGATTGTTCAACCAAAACGTTTCTCAATTCTATTACATCTCAAAAGACATGAATAACTGGAAACTAGAATTTGAAATATCTTTGGGAAATTGCATCTGTCGATATAAGTTAATGATCATTCTTGAAATTTCCTATAGATTTTAGTGAGAAGTTAGAATATTCGATATGTTTAGTATTTTTAGGATGAATACATGGTAATATACTGAGTGTCTCAACAAATGGTTCATTATTTTATGAGTGAGATGAAACGAAATGGTCGTTTGAGAGGCTGATGATTATTGGTTTGAATTGATTTAGACTCCATCTGAACCCAGGTAACACAAACCTCTCCGCGAGATCTCGGAGAGATCAACATCAGGATCATATATGCGAACTCCTATCGTGAGGTAGTAAAGATCGCTGTGTGCTGTAACTAAGCGAATTTTTTCTTGAAGTCCCATGTAGAAATCTTTCAAACCTCACCTTTCAGTTATCAATTTCATTTCCACAATGAATTTCCAAAGTTATAACGAAATTAACCTGAATCAGAAATTGTTACTGCGAGTTCCTTAAGCTAGCTGGAACGTAAACTGAACAAGAAATTCTTGTTGCGAGTTTCTGAAGCTTTCACGTATGTAACGAAAACGAGATATTCTCACTGCGAGTTCGTACAGTTGACCCGAGCGTAATCTGAATCAGAAATTCTTATTGTGAGTTCTTCAAGTCATCCTCACAAACGAGAAATTCTTGGTGGA